GTACGAGTATGGGATTAATCAACGATTTACTTCATGACGTTACAGTACATGTAAGAACTAGGCCACATCCCGAACTTCCACCCGCTGGCTGGAGGTTTAACGTAAACGTTGTACTAGTACTGTATCTGTATTGTTACATGTAAGAATTCCACCCGCTGGCTGGAGGTTTAACGTAAACGTTGTACTATTAATAGTATCTGTATTGTCATGCAGCATCTACACAAGGTGAGCATGATTGGTATATTATTATATATTTCATCATTGTACCATTGCATTACAGTACTATTATAGTAGACGTTTTCGGGGTCTCCCTACTACTGTACAGTACTTGCTTACCATGTTGGCGCCGATGTCTGTGGCGCTGGAACTTGTCGCTGCTACTGGCCGTGAAGGTCCATCCAATTCTTCCTCGTTGGCGGTGCACGATGATGTAGTCTCCCTGAAGAAACAGGTACCGTTTGCGCTGCGTGGCGCGGACGCAACGGACTATACAAGCCCGCTCCATCATTGGAATGCGAATTGGGTGATACTAAACATTTCACTTGATTATTGTATGAAATGTTTTGAAAATCAATCAATCTGGAGCACACCAACCTGACGTGCTTCACGAGATGAATGCATTGCACCAATCAGATTGATCATCAATAATTATTGTGTAATACTTCGAGGTAACGTTACTATTCTTCGCGATGTACGCCCTCCACCAATTCGCTCTAGTAAAAGGGAATACAGGGAGTACTACGTAGTACCGGCATCGTTATTACCGGTAACGTTAGTGAATTTGAGGTGCCCCAACACTCGCGGGGGTTCAACTCGGGACCGACCTTGGTCGTTTGAATTACAACGATGCACCCACATGGGGCCAAGTGAGTGGAAAAGCAATCCTGTTATTACATATTATCTAAAATGTAAGGCTAATAATCACAACGATTGCAACTGGTAAAACGGTTACGTATAGTACTTGTAAGCTTAGTACTCCAGAGTATTGAAAAGAATGAACAGTTCGAAGTCTGCACGGAACCACGAACGCTCACTGTACCTTTCTGCAAGTGGCCACAAATGCACTTACTATTAATAGCACAATGCAGATGGAGTACTAATCACACAAGAGAGAAGGTGGTACGACCTTCACGAGTTGGACACTTTGGCATGGCCTCTCCCACACTTCAAGTAGCCGTATCCGGATAATACCACCAGAACAATTGATATTGTTGTGTTTATTCCACCTGTAAACTGGAACGACATGGAGAATGAATCGACACACCAAATGTCAAAAAGAATCCGCAGAAGAGTTGAGCCAATCAGATTGCAAGAAACTATCATCAACTCAAATTAGTGTGTGATTTCGATTAGTGTGATACCAATCACCACAGGCAGGACACCTTTTTACATACAAAATTCAGTACTAACAGTAAGTTACTACCGGTACAAAGAATCGATCGATACATTTGGCGAATCAGCACACAAGTGTAAATTTTTGATAAAAGGACAATACCTCGATATAGAAACATCATATGCCACTATCAACTTCGTAATGTACTGGGTACTTACGCTTGCTTACTACACGGGTTTGTCCCACACTGGCCATAGGTACCGACCACGTACATGTTCAACAGTGCTCCCATACAAAGATTGTGATTGCTCATATCAGCAACACCCGTGTCGACGCTGAAGTTGCCAGTTTACAATTTCGATCCAACTCGATGGTCGCCGACGTGCAAGAGCCGCAGTGGCTAACGAGATCAACTTCTTCCTCAACGTTGTGTATGGCGGAGATGACCAACCCGCTGCCACATGCCGACTCCACCCACCAAGTCACACAGGACGAACGGTCGCATTACGTGCGCCGCTTGCTGCAAGAAATCGTCAAAGTGTACACGATGCTGCGAACACCGTTTGATAAGGCCGCCGTCCACGAGACCTGCAAAGCGTTCGAGTATGAGGTGTGGTCATCCTGTCACAGCACCGACGACTATGTCCGTCAGATCCGTGGCCAAGTCCAGTCGATATCTAAACGAGGCCGGTGTCTGCTTCAGCAGCGGGAGTTCGAAGTGGCCACCACCAGCACTCTCCAAGCCACCACTGCCTCACCGCCGTCTTACGAACATCACACCCCATCGGCCACGCCCGAGGATTCCATGCGACACCTGCAGCGCGCGCACCTCCAACGAGCTCTCAGCAACTCGTGGCTCAAGTCCCGACGCAAAGCGTCTCGCTTTCGGTGGGAAGGGCGATTGGATGTCCAAGAAGAAGCGTACGTGCGAAGTGTGGAAAAGGCAGCAGGCAACGACATCTACGAAGCCGTTCGCAACTTGCACTTCAACCAACTCGTGACGTACGAAGAGCAGCTGCGACTGTCGTTGCATGCAGAACACCGCGACTGGGTCGCGTACGACCTGAGCGTGGTGCAAGATTTGCTGGCCACGTTGAACCCAATCTCTGCTCCGCAGCACCACAACCAGCACGACGTGCAAGCGCTGCTTTGTCAGATTGAAAAAGTGTTCAAGGAGAAGGCTTTGTTCGACTACATGTGGGAAATGGAGCGTTGCAAGTCGGTCTACACATCTCCATCATCCAAATGCCCATCCTATTTAGCCCCCTAACTTTAACAGCCCATCATATCCATGACCTTCGTGAATTTAGTCAGCCCGAATCATAGAAACCCAGCGCCGGGAACTCCATCATCATGGTGATTATTCGCTGCAACCGATCATCCGGATAATCAGAATCCATGTCGTCTGGATGATGTAAATCCCAGCGACCATCCAACGACCAATTCCCTCGCTACAACAGTCGTACTATTGTTCCGTGATCACTTGGGCTTCCTGGCATACAAAACCCAAGTTATGTATGACACATAGTCAAATCAAGTGTAAATTCAAAATAACTCATTTCAGCTAAGGGTAAAGTGCATCTCTGTGGTTAGCGCTAGCTAACCACTGGTGATGCAACTTAACCCCGGGAATAGCCTTGTGTGTAAGCTCAAGAGGTCCAGGGGTTCCGGGGCTCTTGGTAAAAATGATTACTGAACAACAGTTGTACTCTTGCATCGAGGGAATAGTTCTGACGCTACTGTACCCATCGAAATGAAAGTCTACTTGAAAAATGGAAGGAATTCCTCGTAGAGACTCATCCAGAACTTCATCAAGTATGCCTGTACTACTGTACCACGGGCGGTATACTATCGGTATTAATAGTAACGTTAATGCTTTCCAGTTAAACTTGCCAATGGTGAGCCATTGTGAAAATCGCGTACAAATAGCCGCGATGATATGATTGGTTGGAATTTTGAAGATTTGGGCAGAAATTAGACACACAACTCAGTTTTTCGCTCCTGTTACGATTCCCTGGGCAATACATAAGGTGTAGTCGCACGTTGCGGTAGCGCGGGCGTTCAGCTGGTGCACATGAGATTTCTGTGTGTAAAGTCGATGTGCGTTTGTGCTGGGGATATGATGCACGTCGTCTAAAAACTTCCAACTGGCCAATCGAAGAGTGGCGGTTTTACTATTTAACGTACAATTAATGTAGTTAAACCCAAAAACCAAATACGTTAAATACTGATTTCATGCGTTTTATCACTACAGTGGGAGGTTAAAGGTCCCAACTGTCTCCGGATATTATATACGGATAAATGTCACATACAAAAATCAAGATACATCTCAGCGGCCACCTCTATGGCATATCCAAGCGACCATGTAAAATACCGCTAGGTTAAATATCACCAAATTTGAATCTGAGACGTAGAATTTCTTCACCACATTGAGATCTGTCGATTCTACGTCTCAATTTGCTGAAATTTTGAGTACTGAATATGAAATAGAAGTCAGAAAATTTTGTGAAAAGTTGGTACGGTAGTTTATAGGTGACGAGCATCATACGGAGACACTCGCATAACGGTACGAGGCCTACACACTCAGGAGCTAATGCTGCAAGATTGGATCAAGATTGGATCAGCTCAGGAAACTGCGTCTTACATGTAATAGGGTGATTATTAACGAATGTTTGGTGAGGGAATTCCCACCATTTTTTGTCATTGGGGTCATTTCGGTGGCATTTGAATCTGGGCGATTGAAGAACTGCCCCAAGAAAAATTAATCATTCCCTGAGAGCAAAAGTTTCAGTGTTGTTTACGAAATCACCCAGTACAACCCTTTACTGTAACCTTGGCCCCCGTACTCCGGGGTTGTAGTGGTTAGCTATGGCATTATATGTGAACAGAAGTGGTTTAGGGGCACGCATTATATGTAAACACAAGGGATACTGTACAAAATCCAGAATCAACTACCGGTACCTCAATGTATCCACATGTCGCATACGTTACAATGCTCCGTACCATTTCCAGCTTCGTGCGCTTTTGCCGTACCCTTGTAAGGTCGGAACCCCAAAACATATAATGTGTGCCCCTAAACCACTTGTGTTCACATATAATGCCTGTTCCCGTGGTGATGTTGCATCGCCAGTTCTTAACTAACGTTAACGCTAATGCACATACACTGTACTACAGTAGTACAGGTAACCCCTAACTATATGTGTGTGTAACAATTTGACATACCGATCAAACTGATCCTGATATAACGAAGTAGTACTGTACTACGTACTTCGAAGTACTGTAGTTTACAAAGTTCAAGTACAGCACTTGTATCCATGGTTGCAGTTGAGGGAGG